ATATATGAAATTACATCCAACAAGTCGTCATCTTATTTAACTTAATGATCTGATTCAAACCATAACTAACACCTTTTCGACTGTCTGCACTGTCTGCCCTTCATTGGTAGAATAAATAAATTCACTAGTTTCTGAAGGATATAAGTGAAATATGAAATTATTAATGATGAGATCAACAAGGTAAACCAATCAACCCTGCAAATATTATGAATATTATAAAGGTTGGATAGACAAAAGAGATTCCTTTACGTTTCTCAGCAAAATGCTTGATAATATTAATACAATAAGATTCCGCGTAGTCTCCAATTCATTTATAAGAAAAAGAACTAACAAATTATTCCAGAAAATGATGAACATGTGAGAAGTCAAAGTGAAGCATATTATTTTGTAATCTCGGATATTTGAATAACACTTCTCTAAAAATGATGGTAGAGATAGTTTTTCTTCCCAGTAATATTCTAACAAGACATTTTTCGATAATGGAACTCTCATATGGTCGTAATGACATAACAATTTAAAATGACATACCAGTTAAAGTGCAGATCGACAATGCAGTGAGGATATATATACTTAACATGTAAGGAATGATGGATCCATACATTCGAAACATCTTAAATTTAGAAAATGAAAAATAATGAAAAAAAAAATGAAAATTTCGCAAGCTTGACCCTAATAATAATAATACTTGCTTATCTACCTTGCAAATGGTTCATATCGACTGCGTGCAAGTAGTTTAAGACTGCGAATTCAAATAGTTAAGGAAAAAATTTAACATAATTTGTAATTTTGTACGCGTGATTGCATACAACATACCACAATCAGAGTATCCAAATAACTGATGTCGATGCGTGCATGGAAACGGCAGCGTCGGTTTAATATGAAAAATATTTCGGCTTTTGTTTCTTCCTTATTAAGTAAATGTCCAATTATTTGAAGTTCTTTACTGTCACCAAGACTGCTTATACGTCGTAAATCTTGACTTCGAAACTCAACTTTTGCGAACCATTCTATTAAAAGCTGAACTGACAACAATCTTTGTAACTGTTTAACTGAATTAAATTAATTTTAAAGCTAGATGAATTATAAATACGTAAACTAGGTTATTCAGCAAATCACATAAAACCCTCAGTGATAAGAAGGAATTATGAGGAAGACCACATCTGACTTACTACTTAAAAACCGTTGTTCAAATTCAGAAAGTGGGCGGTGTTGTTACTAAACTAAAGTAGAAGACGTCTTTTAAGTTTTGTTATCGGTAAAGTGATTCGTTTGCAAACTTGTGGAGGATAACGGATACTAACCATTTGTATGCCTGCATGATTCTAATTCAAGTTGTATGACGATGGCAACACCTGGAGTTTCGAAATAAACTGGCAATAATACAACAGATTCATCACCCTCAAAGTCGGCTTCCCATAAAAATGTGAAGCAGCTTTTCATTAATGACAATAATCCAATATGCACAACCTAAAATACATTTAAATCTTGCCTTCAAAAGAAAATGCCGAAAAAATCTGACATTTGCTATAATTTTAGAGCCAAATTTTAACACAAGTTAGAAATCCCAGAAAGCGGAGAAGTTTTGGACCTTCACGTCATGAATACTCCTGAAATCCTTCTAATTAAAATATTCGTTGCTCAAAAAAGTCCGTAAAAATTTTAATTTCATGCAGAACTAAACTTCGCCGGATCTTCTCGAAGTGCAACGACTTCGAAAAACTTTTCAGATTTTAGAGAGACCGAAATCCTTTCTGCGACACTCGAGTGAACGAGTGTGTAAGACGTCTGTCGCAAACTGTTCAAAGAATAAATGGGTTCTCCGGATGATGTCCGCAACGAGCTCCCAATACTTCTTTCAATGAACAACCAGCTATTGTTTGGAAATGAGAGGACGAATTCTTTTACATTTTCATCATTATTTTTTACCTGAGAGGTAAAGCAAGGTTTCATAAGCCTAAATTTGGAAGTTCATGAATATGGTTATTATTATTAAGTTACGAAATCTTAGTACAGAAGGCACTTAAAAATTTTATGGTGATCACACTGGATCTAATGAAAACGAAATACTGAAGGGATACACTGCATATCAAATGCAGATGAAAATAATTATTATATTGCAAAGAATATACATAGCTAAATATGTATGCATTTATTATACCCACAAAAATTGATTCATTCCCGACGATAACCTCAGTACTTGTACCGACTCTCATATGTATTGGCTCTCTGAGAAGCCCATTAGCATCAAAAAGTTGCTTGACAACATGATCAGCACGTCTGTGAAACGATGCCGGATTGTAAGCATATTCAATCATCAAACGCGAGATGTATCTGAACAATAATTCTGTAGTTTTAAAATTTAGTCCAATTCAGAATTCAGTTTCTTATTTTTTATTGATAAATTGTAATAAATGAATACGCGAATGTGGACAACAAACCTAACCAACTGGTTACACCAAACAATACAAAGATGATCGGTCTCTAGCTCAATGCCATCAATAGCAGTAGTTGAAATATGGCGAATACCACTATCGACAGTAAAATGTTCTGGCACAAGATGGTCTTTCAAACCACCCGAAACTGATAAGATCAAAAGACTGGCTAATTCTTTTTGATGCTTTTTCCAACTTTCATGCATTCGATCATAGATATTCTTCAAATACCAATCAAAAACCATTGCTAAAAAGACATGGAAGATAAATAAGCTACGAAAATGACACACCAGAAAATGTTAAAAAACAGAAAATTAATTAAATGAACTGATAGCTTTTTTTCAGTAAAAATTTAATCACTTATAAACATACGTGCATCTTTGTGTGGTGTCCCCAAAGTTATAATAAATGCAATCCGACTAGAATCGAAATCAACGCTATGCAACAGGGACCGTATAACAATACCACCCATTGAATGACCAACAAATATGATACCATGAGGTGAAGGTGAATACATGCTCCAAATATGTCGCACTGCTAATTTGAGATATTTGATTTGCCGTTCCAAATACATGCCTGAGAGACCTGACAATTCCTAAAATTATTGAACCATCAGAAAGTGTTTAACATACTTCAAATAAATAGAATCAACTTCCTAAATAAACTTGAGTCCTCTCCTCTTGATGTAAACAACGTCAATTCACTATTATTATTTCATGAGAAGCAGAAGTTAAATGTTCTGAAAGCAGAAGTGAATCACATTAGAACAAACCTCATTGAAATCAATGGCAAAGACATCGAATGTGAACGGTAAATTCCTATTTTCGGTCTTATTATGAAGTATCGACCCCAGAGAACGAACCTGTTTGGAAGAACCCGCGTTTCCAGGAACAAAAATGACGGGAAGTCCATTAACTTGTTTGGTCCTCCTGCGATAAAATGGAGTTAAATAAAACAAGGTTTTTAAATGTTTTTGGGTACTTTTTAATAAATAAACTGGAATTTTTAAAGGGCAAACCATACATGTAATTGTGAGCATATTCTCCTTCTCCATATAAAATCGTCACGTAGCTACTGAAATCATTCGAAAACGGATATCCAATATCATCGGTTTGACCATACTTCAACTTTGTGAGATCAATATCAATGCGCTATAATGCCAAATTACTTATACCACTTCTGAATTCAGCAAAGTAATTTAAATAACAAGTAATCCTGAAAATCTGTAAAATGCATACCATAAAATTTATAATTCGATACATGTAAGTCATCTCACACTGATTTGTTCGCATCCAAGGTCGGTTTCTAACCATATACAACAAACGAAATGTAGCCGCTATGAAAGTCGCAAATAACAGATTCTTCATATGTAACTTCATTGTATCCTTGGACTTTCAATTAAAACTTAGAATTACAATAACTGTGATAATGCAAAAATGGCATAATAAAAATTCATGGATCAGGACGCAAAAAATCCAAATGCATCCAATAAATACACTTACAGCTTGATACAACACTCTCTGTTCCAAGGAATCCTGAACATAGGCACCACAAAGAATTCCAAAAAGAATCACAAGCCACAAAGCCAACACTTACAACGCCATGCTTCATATTAGTGAAAAATTTCACGTAAAGCACGAATTTACACGGCCTTGCATTATTAATCTATGAAATCTAGCAAATCACTTGCTTCAGTTGTAATTAACCTTCCCATAAATAACAAAAAAGAAAACAGAATATAACCGGAATGTGCGAATTGTCTGGCCACCGAGAATTCATAAAAACGCACAAACAATGCCAACCATTTGATATTTGAACTTCTTCATTATTAAAAAAAAAAAAGAACGCTTAAAATGTTCCCCCAATTCTTAGAGTTTTTATGAAAAATAATGAAATGCTGATTTCTTTTTGAAAAATAAAAAAAGCGGTTTATTCCATTTATAGGCAAACAAATAGTGAAATGATAACATTTTTCACCGCGCGAATTCAAATGAAATATAAGTGGGAACTGAATAAGTTAAATGTGTAAAAGAATTAAAATAACAGAAACAGTAAGTAATTGAGTAATTACTTGATCGAAGTTTGTAGCTGAAGTGAAATCAAGTGAAGCTGCTTTTTTTAAACCGCCTTTTAGCGAAATTAGGCAAACCAAGTAAATTATAACACGTCCAGTCAAATCTATACTTTGTAGATTAACACAATTTGCTTTATGTTTTGTTAGCGGATAGCGGAAGCTTTGTTTGATTCCAATGATACATTACTTAGGCTAAGTATAATTGATAAGGTTTCCGCAAAATGCTTGGGTTTCCATAAATTTAAAATGCATTGAAAAGGAAGCAGTCCTTTTCACTTTTTAAAAATGTTCAATAAATTAGCGCAGAGTGTGCATCTCGCCCTACGGGAACCCAGGATATACATTCTGCGCTATGATTACAGTCGGATGTATTTAGATTTTTGCTTTAGATTTCTTTCTTTAGCCGTTATAAAACAACGATTTCAAAAGCAATACTAAGGTAGTTGTTTGCATTTAAAGTTGAAAACAAGAAAAAGTTTTTTAAATGATCAAATTTTTATATGTTTTTATATATGAAAAAGACCTTTTTTTGATTCAATGAGAAGCAAAAAAGCAAAGAAACTGCTGCAGTAAAAATAATAAATAAATTAGACTCCTTCTACGGAACATGAAATATGAATACTTAATATCAGTAAAGAGAATAATTAAATTAGTGTTAATAATCATGTTAACAAATTCAATTAGAAAATGACACAATTTAATTAAGTCCATTTAAATTGGCTGTGTTCAAGTTTCTTTCAATTTGTTAAAATCAAAATGAATACATTTCTTACAGACAAATAGCCCTCGTTTGCTATCATTTTTTTTTTTGATATAATCTGCATTATGATTATTTTCTCTTTCTGACACATTGAAAATATAAAGGCTAAAAATTTGTGCAAACATATAAAAGATGTTTGTTACTTCTTCAAAACCACTCATTTCGAATACGCCTGCTGAAACAGCTCCTTTACATATTTTGGACGACATTTTAAATGCTTTAGATTGTGAGCTGAATTTCGCATATCTCCACAATATCAATTTTTTAAATTTTTACTGGAAATTACGAAAAAAATTACAACTGGTAAGAATGTTATTGATCTATGTGTTCGATTTGCAGTTTTATTATTTTTCAGCGAACATTGTTGCTGAGTTTTAAAATCAGCTTAGTATTTTTTCGTTTCATGCTTTATTTAATAACTCGCTGTTGGAACTTGAGAAGATGAGTTTTTTTTTCTCCCAAATTAAAGCAATTTGAATGAGTAATGAACAACAGCTGACAGTTTTGAACTTAAAACACAAATCATATTATGAATTATTAAATACCGCAAGATAAATTATGGAAATCCGTCCAGCAAACTTACATTTCAAGCTGCAAATTGGTCGAGCATTTTGCTTGATGTAATACTGTTCATTGTGAAAGGTTGATGTCCAACATCAAGTGATAAATCGTGATAACGGAGTATAAACAGCCCAATAATCCATTGTTAAAGCTTTAGGGCTAATATTCGGATGCATTCAAGCAAATCACTTACTATTCCGATATATCATATGTGCTGCATTAAATGTTTTAGATGACCGGAAAGAATATGGAATGTGTGGATATACCGGTCTCATGAATGAATGTATAGAGTCACTTACTGACATATTGGATGGAATTCGTGGTACATCGGAAGAAAGAATTTCAGGCGTTAACGGTATTTGTAGAGTCGAAAAGTGGTATTGAAATGATAAAAAAACTTCGTTCAATTTCGGGAAAATTTTAGAATATTTAAAATATAATCTTTGTTGCTATGTATTGCCAAAATTTGATGCAATATGTTACATTCAATTAAAAATATATAATTGTTATTTTGCAGAAGTTTTTATTCAAATTATTCGAAATTGATGAGAAATATCAACGATAAAATGTAACAATGGATTTGCTTAAATCTTAATGTGCTGATAAGACTAATGTAGCTCAACCTGGAGGACCACTGAGAAATGCCAGTATATTGATATAATTTCATTATTGCTCATCTTTGTCATTTTGACATGCTATGGAACTGGCTTTAGGAAAGTTATGGGCTTTCAAATTTCAGTAAACCTTAAAACTTTGAAAACCAAATTTTTAATAGAAAGCAATAATAATAGTTTGAACTTGATAGAAGTAAATTTTGCTCATATATAGTCAGTGCATGATGTATATTTTGAGGCGTCAGAGTAAGAAGGGTGGTTCCTGATTGGGAAGAAAAAAAATTGACATAAGCAATTGCCAAATTTTTTGTTAACTGATTCATCGCCATAATTTGATTTAGATAGCAGAGGAATGACTATTTAATTCCGTTTCTTGAATTTTTCCTTCAGTTTGTTGTCGCATGGCTTGTTATTATAACTTCCACCTGTGCGTGTAACTGCGTCTGAAACTTTTTGGTGCCACGAGCTAGGATGTCAACCAGTTTAATTAAAAGTACTCAACCAACATTAGAAAAAACTCGATCGATTTCTCGAAGAAGTAGAAGAATTGGATTTATCACCAATAAATCAGTAATTACCAAAAGAAGAAGTGTATCAAATATATGAAACCCGAAAACGAACCATCGAAGAAAAATTAGAACGAACTGAGCATATTTTTGCATCTGTCAGCAATAATTGGCTCTACTATATTCAAAAAACTAACAATGTGTCAAAAAGGAAGGAAGGAGCAATTTATATGGAAATGGCCGATCAAGAAAAAAGATATTCTAAGACATTAAGTCAGGAAAGAGAAATCAAAACAATTCTAAAATTATATAAAAATGACCATGGGTTATCAATCGGTCGTCTAAATCAGGAATATATAATTCAAGACCTAACTTGTTCACAAGAATTACCCAAAAAGGTCCCACAAATAACCGTAACCTACCACAATTACAACCGACATTTAGCGGTAATTCAAAAATGTAGAGACAGTTGTGGAACATTTTTGATGTTGTCCATCTTTAAACAATATACTATTGAAATCAAAAACTTTCACGACAGCATCTTTATAATCGTCTTCCTTCAAAAAGTCGTTGAGGAATAAAGTGGCAGATTAATCCTCATCTGTCCGTTCATTTATATAACGTACTCAACAAGGAGAGAGAGACACACTCTTTCAGCTTTGATCTATTGTTATTCTAGGAGAAAATTTTTATAGATTTTCTAGAAGTTTTGAACTTGAACTGTCACTTGTTTCATCACTTACCTCATTGCTACCTCTTTTTTTGCATAAACATTATTCATGATCAAAAATACAAAAATTGTAATCAATTTCATGAGGCACGTCTTAAAATGTTTTCTAATTTTGATTCTGATAAAGGAAAATGATTAAATTAAAACAAAAAAAGGAATGACAGATCTAATTCATTTCACATTACTAAGTTGTAGAGAATATTCAACTACCTCGATAATTAGATCCGATAGCAATCTGAAATCATAGTTTAGTTTAGTTCAGTTTACAAAATGCACAATATTTTTTATGACATAAAGCTTTATTAATTCCATTATTTTAAATTTGATCCACAGTTCGAAGAAAAAGGTTACAAAAAAGCGTTTAAAGATGTAACATTCACACAATATTAGCTGAGCTGTGATAGAATATTTGGAGTTAGTGATAATGCAACAACCGGCTCATTGTCCATTTGTTCATTCAAGTTATATCGATCTATACAATTTTAGTCTACTGATTTCGGAAGATCTCTGTGTTCACTTACATGATTTTTTACAAAAAGTATAACTTGATGTTTTGCTCAGTTTTGTGTTTTTTCCAAATGAACACTAAGTTGTATTTCGTCAGTTAGCTTACAGATAACAATGAAGAAAAAGAAAATCAATTAAGAACCTCAGTTTCTTCTAAATCATTTTCTATTAAATATTTAAAAGCATACCATGGGAAGTTTAATAAGATTTCAACAAGACATATTAAAGCAAAGAAACCAAATCAGAAAACAAAGTTGATAATGGAAAGTAATTAGTCAAATTAAACATCATGAAGTATTATGTTAAAATTCTATGTCAGACTGAGAAATGTCATCCAATCTTTTTTCCTATTAGAATATCAATATACAATATAAAATGCTTAATTATCATGGAATCAATATAAAATGTCATTTAAACCCTTCTTCTCAACCCTTTTTCTCTTGGCCTAAGCTGATCAGCACTTGATACCTTTCTCACTATCCATCCGTATCTCTGGTAACGCTCTCATATTTTCCTTTTTCATTCTTTGAATCTTCTCAATCATATATTAGAGAAAATCTCATTGCTCAGTTGAAATGAAAAATCAGTCACATACATCAGTTCCTGAATACTTTCCTGATCCATTTGTTTCTGAAAAACTCTATCCGACGACTCTCCCCAGAGTAAAACATTCCATAGCGGTGTTATTTGTCTTCTATAATCGACGTTGTGACTTGTTGCTTCACTAAGGGATAAGAGAACGTTGCCAAATGCATAATAGATTTGATGCTCTTCTCTCGGCAATTTTTCTTGAAAAAAGAATTTTAAAACGCAAGTGCTACCTGCGGTCCTAGACATTTTCTTGGTGTATTCGGACTGAATCTTTGTTTGCTTTTTCAGAACAAACCGATATGAGACATCCTCTCGCCCTCTCGAAGTAATCTCCTGATATTGCTAGACAAAACTTTAAAAACATCGGTATTCTCCTGCGCATTATGAGTTCAAATACTTACTCGTAAGCATCGGAACTTTGCAGTGTCGCCTTCAATAACCCTGTGTGTACAACCTTCTCAAGTGACCACTCCCGGTATATTTTCTGATAATAACGTCAAAGTATTCCTTTGTCCCGAATATAGCTCCAAAGTTCTTTAGGTTCAATTCAGCAAATACTTTTCTTTTACCTCGAATGTGTCAACTTCTATTGTTAATTTACAACACTGAAGTCTTATTCTTCAGCAAGTTACATGTCTTTCTCGCCTCATTCAGAGTTCCGTATTCTTTATCACTAAATTTTCGACAGATGTGTCTTTCATTAACAAATTCTGATGTGAAACGTTTTATGTTCCAACGTTATCATATGAAAGGCAATGTTTATTTCAGACTGCTTCAGGAATTCAAAATCACTTTGAAATTAAAATGTCGTTTACAAACCCGATTACCTACAAAACGGAAAAATGACGTTGATTTTCGACCTTCCCTTGACTAATTGAAAAAATGGATAATCTCGCATCTCACATGAACTTCATTCTCATTCACTTTTCACTTACATCCAAAATCTTTTTTGCACTGTGTTTTTTATGAGAGGAAACATTTTATTTTTAATGCCAAATTGCAAAATTCAGTACTGAATGTTTTCTCTCATTATGCAAAAAAAAACATTGAAATAATAAATGATCCAAACATTAGTATTAATATACATAAAGACAGACAAAAGCAATGTGACCCTGTGAGGTAGATACAAAGAAAAACGAAAGGATATAAAATGTAATAACCGGAAAAAAACGTAAGTCTGAGTAGAAAAATAATCGAAAAAACTCACCACTGTAATTTCATCAAAAATTCGTTAATATATACAAGAAAATTGTAAACAGCTTGAATGGTCATTAATAAATAAATAGTGAGGAACATCCAGATAAAAAAGAAACATATGAGAAAAACGCTAAAAGAGCTACCTGTGTGTTTTAAAATAAATGAAAAGAAACACATTTCGTATAAGTACGCTTTTTAATTTTTTTGTCATTCTCGTGTGTTTCTTGTTTATCCGGATTCTTCTCATTGCTCGGTAACGATTCTTGCAGCAACATTTCCAAATTTTTGTTCGGTTACTAGTAAATCGTTAAGCAGACAACTCAACCAACTGTTTTTCTTTTTGAATTATGCGGATTGTAATCGGCAAGAAGATTTAATTTGAAACTAGGATTTCATTACTTCAAAATTATGTCAGAGTTCAGTTTATGCCGAAACAGTATCTGTCGTATAATTGAATAAAGCTAAACGGTGTCTCAGTTGCGAGGTTCGAGAGATCGGATCTTGAGCAATCACCAACTGCAGATCTCGCATAGTGACTCGTTTTGTGCGGGGGCGATGAGTCTGCACAGAAGGCATAAAAATAAAAACGAAGAAGGATGAACTTCGTATACATTAAATACGTTAAATTTTATCGGAAACACTTTACTCTGAATAAATAGGAAGCGGATTACTAGAAATTCAAAGGTAAACTTCAGGAAATTATCGCTTCCTTTTTATTAAAGATGAATAAAGATTAATACCTGAAGTGAAACTCCAGCAGTTATTGGTTGATCGAACGGATTGCTCGTTTCGGACCAATGTTTCCTGCTTATCTTGCCTCCACCTAATGCTGCTATTGCGGCAGCATTGGCATCACGATTTCGCGCAGCTTCCTGATCAGCTTTTTGCAACTTAAAAAATAATTTCAACGGAAAAGTCAAATAAACGATTGGATTCCACTTTTGGTAAATATGGGATATAAAGTTCAAGCACAGATTTTTTTTGATGCTATGAAAAAAAAAGGAATATGAAATTTCCAGTTAATTACTTGGAACGATGGAATCTAAGAAGTTATCAACCTGTTTTGCTTTCTCAACCAAAGTATCTTTATCCTTTCCTTTAGTTTTACTGAGTCGAATTAATGCTTCTTTTTCACGATTTTCTCTTCTTTCATATTCCAAACGTTCCAATTCTTCCACGAAGCGAAGCTGTCGACGAGTATCATCAATTGCCTAGAAAATCAAATAATATTCGAAAACAAATGGGTGAACGATAAAATAATTATGAAATCAATAATGATGAAATAATTATGAATACGCGATAATAAGGATGATTTCGAAGAGGTTCCAAACGATGTTCCGCAACAACAGCTAATTTGGCAAGCATTATCCGCAACCTAAATTCTGCGGCCTGAGAAATTAAAGCAATCACTTCCTCTTGAGGAATACCTCCATCAGGCATTGCCCGTTGAATTTTCCTAAATTAAATTGTATTGTTAATATGGAAAAAATTCAGCTTATTCATAGCTTATCCATATATGAAACCGATAATTCGATGATCGAAAGAATAAAAATTACTGATTACTATAACATATTGAATTATAGAAGCAGGATTTCAAAACAAAAACACTCACCGAGCAATGACATCACCATTTAGTAGTTTATACTGTGTTTGGCTCGGAGGTAATGTACGAATTTCAGCTTCACTGGACGACTCTTCTATTGAAAAATCATCACTTCCTTCAGTTTTCGAATAACTTCCTGTGCTGCCATTCAGCACTGATGACGACGGAGCAACGCTTGAAGACCTCTTCAACGAATTTATTATTCGTCAAGTTCAAATCGCGGTAAAAATTCAGGGATGAATCTATCTTGTGACAACGTTGACAAGTAAATGTTTTTGAAAAAAAAAAAAAACTTAGTATGTTTGACTTCGAAATCAGGATTTAACGTAAACATATTTACAAGTGAGGTCAAATATTAAAAACTGAAATGAAAAATGATAAGGAACAACAAAATATACCTGCGACAAGTAAGAATTTTCATTATTTGTCCGTTGTGAACTTGTATCCCACTGTGTGGGAGGCTGAGGAATGTCAGGAAGTGGTGGCTGCTGCGGAGCAGCGGCACCGATTCCTTCAATAATAACTTCACCCTTTTGTAATGCTGCCCTCAGCGCTGGTAAAGTCTTCAATACAATAGCATTAATTAGGAGGTTTTGTCAATATCTACGTATGAGAATGACAAATGAAATAATTGGCTGTTCTCTCATCATGGTAACAGAATTGAAGACCAATTCGATAGTTCCGATGATATTCATGTGCTATTTTTGCAAGATGCTCCAAAATGCTTGTTTCTATAATTTAAAAAATGGCAGAAATTATTTCAAAATAAGCTTCACAAAAGTGATACCCTCTGAAGAAATGGAAGCAGATGTGGCTGTGCTTGAGAGCGCAGTGCTTCCTGAAGACGACTAGTAAATACCTCTGGAGGCATTGAACCATATATTACCAGCTGGAAAGCAAATACTAATATTTTAAAAATATGTTAAATATTGATTTATAAGATCGTAAATTATTATCTATATCATCTACATACTAAGAAAAAAATTAAGTAGGTTGGACGAAAGAATTCCTCTCATGTCTTCACCCCGTTCTCCTAAACATTTATGAAAGTAGTATGCAAAAACAATCTTTTTATCGCTAAAACTCACCTTAACAAGTTCGGTTACCCGCATGGCTGTTTGCTGCCCTTGCTGTTGATCAGGTTGCTGCGAGAGATGTATGAGCGTTTTGAAAAATCGCGCGCATTTTGAAACCATGCTTGCTTGCTCGGCTGCATTAGTATTACGCATATGATTCTGATGAGTTTGGGCATTGTTGCCTTGAAAAACTATTCAATTGAATAATAAGATTTTCTAGTTATCGATGCGTCAGCACTCCTATTTCAATTTATGATTTCGATAGAGGGATTTTTACGTAGCAACTAAGTAATGAAACGAACAGACAAAAAATAAACGAGAATTCCAAATTAGTCGTTTGAAAGCCAAGATTATTTAAAAACCAAAAATTGAAATTTCAGAAAGCGAATAACGTGAAGTGCACAATTAAAAATTTGCTACCTTGGTTTAACATAACATATTGTACAGGTCGTAACTGCATGTCTTGACCGCTCACCTGCGAGACAAAAGATGGTGTTGAAACCTGAATTGAATACTTCTAGAATGTATGGGTTTTTGAAATTCTCAAGAATGAGAGTAGAGAAAAACAGAAAAAAGCACTGAAAATTCATCAGTCCTCACTACGCAAATGTGATTTATCGCACCAATGTTAAGTAAATACTCTGACACTAAATAAAAGAGTAAAAATGTGAATCGTTGTCCTTATTTTGTTCTGCATGATCTGTGATATTACCGAGGAAGCTATGTTTGTACTCCGAGGAACATTTGCTCGACCATTTTCGCCTAAAACAGGCCCTGGAACGATTCGGAAGCGTGGTCCACCACCCGTTGTTGGAACAGGAGGCGGGGGTACTGCTTCGCTCATAAAATACTGAAAGTATCAAAATATTGCTCATCGAAAAACAAATGCAGCTTTTTTCCAAATATTTAACATATTTCTGCACGATTTAGGGTGACAATCACAATAGAAGTGCTAGCAACTTCGTAGCTAACTGCTAATTTTCTGTGTCTTTCGAAATATACCAGTTTTTCAACTTTCCAATAATTCATGGTAAAGTGGAAAAAAGTTCCACATTATTACTAGCAAGAAAAATCTAAAAAGGTCAACCATTAAACCATCTCTTTCTACATATCATCTAGGAAGTACGGACTAGAGGATCCTTAGGAGAAGTGTTTTTCCGATTCATTTGAACTATCTGGAATATTTTTTCCAATTAGTTGGAACCATCCAGCTTTGTTCGCTACCGTCAAGCTGGAGTGGTGGAATTGGAATTTCTTGGAAGATCGCCATCACATATAAATAAAAACAATAAGTGAAAGCATAATGAACGTAAGGCATAACATTCCGAGATATGCACTGGTTTGTCTTAATCGGAATTCAATTCACATCTATTATACTTTCATCATCAGTTTTGAATTGTGAATTAGATCCATATGATATGAACATGATTGACCTAATATAAAAAGATTTTAAGATCCAAAACAGACGTTATGAAATAAATGTCAAATTTTCTTCTGCAAGCGAGTCATGGAATCACATTCTTTCCAAGACTTGGAGATTAAAAAATTTGATAAAACAGAAGCAGTGATGGATGCAAAAAAAAGTCCGAATTCCTGATCTTAAATTGTTCAACGAAAACAAACTTAAATTTCAAAAAAAAATTTATTACCTGACGGTAAAACAAGGGCAAAAATCCCGACATATAATAATCATGCAAACTATCCATATCATCCATGCTATCACACGCAAGCAGACCGACATAAACAATAATTGAGATAAAATTTTTTTTATTATACCAAAATTATGTAAATTTTGGTTAAAAACTTGGTAAATCATCATTTTATGCAAATTTTTCAACGAATTTGAAAAATTGCAAAATAATGAGAATATGGCTGTTCAAAACTGGTCCTTGCACGAGAAATTGAGAACGATTGGGCTTTCAATGCGAAACGAATCAAAGCTACTACTCTGCATCAACTGTTTTTTTAAAAGGTCACTTAGTTCCGGTCGGAATGCTCCTGTCAGTGCTCTGTTAATGATCTAACATATTCAAAAGCGTAAAACGATGGTTATACCGTTTCACCCTGCTAAAGTAACTTTTTGAGTAAACAGCTACCCAATTTGTGTAATTTATTAAATGAGTGCGATTTCAACATAGTCCTTTGCAACAATATATTTAAGAATGTTCAATGTGAATAACGACTTATGAGATAAAAAAAATTTTGGCACAACTCATCTAAATTGCTTCCTGAATTACGGAATGACATCTTGATACTTCGATTTTGAGAACTTCCGTTTCATTTCAACTATGATACATCAACATTTACGCCAACTAACGTGCCACATACACAAAAAAACATCTTCAAATGAAGTAGGTAACTGCTAACTTCTGTTATGATGTTGTGAAAGTACAAAATCGGTTCATGAGAGGACGTTCTGGCATAACTACAGCTACATTATTTTACAAAGGTATGAGAAATATTCAGAAATGTCGGCGAATATGAGTGTATATGAGATGATCGTTTATCATTCATAGCAGCAGTGCATCTGTGGAACTGTTAGAAAAAAAAAAGCTTCATTCCGTGGATCAAATCGGCAGTAACGACGAATTGGAATTCATCAGTTTCCGGATAGCAATTAGCAGGTATTTTAATGTTATCCTTTTTATGTTTTTAGTGTTAAAGGGTATTAATAAATTGAAGCTTGATGAAATCGAAAAGATGACGCATCATGCATAAGATGTAGCACTATAGTAAAATCTCATGGAGTTTTTCTTTAGCCAGTTGAAGACTTCTTTTCTAGAAATTTGCTGAACTGCACTGCAAGCAGTAGTGGATTAGACATATATGCCTCTTTTACAATGCTTCAAAACTCGAAAACAGACAAAATTCTTGCACGGTAAAACACTGCCGCTAAAAGAAGCAATATATCTTCATAACACTGAAGAATGTGTTATTAACGTTGAAGACTGTTTCGTTCTCCTGCGACAGGCCTAATTAGCAAATTGATACGTAACTAGCGAAGTCACAGATCCCTTTCGACATTTTCAAAAATTTTATTTCAGTGATTATCGCATATTCGTTTAGCAACGATCACGTATAACAAAAATGCCAATCGCCGGGAAATGCCAATAGTCAGGAAATAGCGCAAAGGTCTCAACAATGATATCACAGTTCTGCTCCACCCGAAACTCGCAGGCCGTCGAACTAAATATCAGCAGAGGCGACAAAAAGAAGCCAATAAACCATATAATAATCGCGGTCCGTTAAATCTCGTACGCGCATAGAGTGAAATCAATGCTTTGGTGTTGGTTCACTTGTGCTGAAAGGTGGATTGAAAGGAGTCGTTGATGCGTTGTTATGCCGAATTATGTCAAGCCTTAGAATATATTCTATCTTCCTCTGTTAGTTTAACACTGTGTCGTTTGAGGTAACTTCGTTGGAAAAGATTTGAAAGTAGTGGTTAGGAGTAAAACAAGCAGGATCGAGGTCAAAAAAGTTCTGAGAGTGGTGGTATTTGTTTGTTAGTATTATTATATGAGTTGGATAAAGCTAATACGGAATCAGACAGCCTCACCACCCCAGATATCTGCATGGCTAGTATTCACATTGGTATAAATACTTTGATTTTTGGAAGTGCAAAGCGTATTGGATTGTGGCTTCAAGTTTCGAGCGAGGAAATTATATGTTTGCTATTTTTATCAATTTTAATTAGGCGTAAACACTTTCTTTTCAGTACAATGATATGGCCACTATTAATTATTTCGGCATTTCTATTGACCGTCGTGCAAATATTGAGGAAAGTTTTACGCCCAAACTTTGTGGAATATTGTTCTCAAGATTTCGATGTTTCTTGCAGTAAGTCTTCTCCTTGAAAGTTTGTAGATACAGGTATGAAATTTTTGCAGTGAACCATTTTCGAGAAGTTTTCGAAGAGACTTTTTTCAAATATTTTTGACGGAAGTTTGTATCCAATAAGTAATACTTCTGGAGGTGGACATCACTTCGTAAGCTTGTTCTATGATGATGCAAGACATTATTGCAATGTTTGCGAGAATGTAATGCGAAGGGGCATGCAGTGCGACTATTGTGGAGTCATGGTCGATTTCTCATCTTGCCTTCATTCACTTTCGACCACTTTCCGTTGTAAAATTACTGTCACATCAACAAATGGGGAAATTATGCACCATTGGGTAAAACCTTTAATTTTCTGGAAAATTTTGGGTAGTTGCTTTAAATGTATCAAAATCCTATCCATTTGCATAATTTGCATAATTTCACAAGTAATGTATTTAGTATGTCTAACAACATCATATTTTAAAAGTTCTCTGTAGGTCCACGGGAATCTGCCTTCGTGCAGCATCTGCTGTGTGTGTAATGAGGAATGTGGCGATGGTGTTGGCTTGATAGATTTTCGATGCGCTTTTTGTCAGGTTAAATATTATCTCGAAATGTAATGAATTAATTAAGGCATTCAAGTCACCTTTATTTCATAATTGTAGTTTACCGTGCATACACGCTGTAGGCAGCTGGTGAATGGACGTTGTACTATGGGTGCCAATTGGGATTTCATTGTTCCACCGACTTGTGTTACAGTACGTAAAGTTGGAAGTCGTCGCAATAAACAGGTTGGAATTGAACATTTTCGGATAAAACTGCATTTATTTTCTTATTTTTTTTCTTTTTTTTGTTGACTGAAATATAACTGAAGATATGCACTTGTAAGATGTTTTGCATATGCACTTGATATTTGATGCAACACTACTTTATATACAACATTAGCTCTTTTATATGTTCCAAAAATATTCCAACAGTGGAAATAACACTTATTAACTAGTTATGCACTGTTTTAAAAAAAAAAAAAAAAAAAAAAAAAACGAATTTCAACAAAATCTTATGATATCTTCACTATATATAGAAGCAAACAAATAGTGGTATTGAACCGAAATTACTAAACAGTGATGTAGTAAAATATGCTTGAAGTCGTCATAATAGTAGTAGTCGGTTGAACTGTTGAACTGACTGGATGGATTTTGTAAAATCCGTCTTATGGCGATAATTATAGATCTATATATTCTGACATAGAAAACTTTCCTTTACTTTCCTTTTTGACATTCTTTGTTGTTCGGCCAGTATATTCACCGAAATACTCAAATAACCAAGTCCAAGTCCTCTCTTTTCTTCAAAACTTTAATGAATTTTGCAGCTGATTGTTGACACAATTTGTCGACCAAGTAATGTTGACTATTTGTCATGGAAGCCACTTTTTGTTATCATTAATCCAAAAAGTGGAGGAGCTGAAGGATTCGCTGCATTACGAACATTTCGCAAGCTCCTTCATCCGGTTCAGGTGGAAAAACTTTTAACTCGTTCAATGTAGTGGAGAGATTATCAATTGAAATTTGAGCTGGATATTTGTTAAGTTTAATGTTTTGGAACCATTATAAAGACTAAATGAATACAAAGTGTACAATATCTTAGTCTGCAAACTTATTGTTGAATGCATGTGCTTGTCACAGGTTTTATTTTGAAAAAAAACGCAAAATACTAAGTTCAGAGATTTCAGGTTATAAATATTCGACAAATCGGAATAGGAACAGCGCTGCGATGGATCAATACGTATCCTGAAATCGACTGTCGTGTCATTATCGCTGGCGGCGATGGCACAGTTTCTTTAGCTCTAGATGCTATCAGCGAATTTCAGCGGAAATTACCTGTAGCTGTTCTGCCTTTGGGTACTGGTAACGATCTGAGTAGGACTTTAGGATGGGGATCTGGTCATGAAGGGTCGGTCGACTTCTTCGAGGTCGTTTTTATAAAAATTGGCTTTTAAGAACTGTAATTTATTGTGAGCTATTTATTGTGAAGATCTTTAGCTGTAGTGTAAAGTATTCTTGACTTACAATAATGACGACAACTAATTTTTCTAGCATTTTTTGCGTTTTTCCAGAACATTATAAAACAAAACTTTTATAGCCAGTTACAGATCTGTCGTGACATGAGAAGTGCTAAGACGGTGAAATTAGACAGGTGGACAATTGATATTATTCACAAGAGGCAGTTAGGTATTCGTGCCAAAAACAAGCGATTCAGTATGGTAAATTATGTTTCTATTGGTGTAGATGCTTGCGTTACTTATGGTTAGTGTATTTCATATTTTCTGGTGTGGTGCATACACGTTTTAGCTGTTTCATACATTAGAGAAATTTCTTTCTGTAAATGAACGTTATGGATTTCCAAAAAAAAAATTGCTTCAAGTAAAAGTAGGAAGAAATAGTAGCAAGCTTTGTTATGGGTGAACACCGAATAACACATACATGGTAAATTTATTCCGATTGATTTGATCGTAAAAGAATATGTGAAGTTATAACATTATTTTGAAAGATGAAATCTTTGGATTCTTTTAATTTCTAAAAGCGAAATATTAAAATATATAAAATAATATGTATGAAACAGCTGATTGAGACTGACTGACAGAAAAGCTATTTTTATCGATCTGGGAAATTAGCTTTCAGGCATGCAATCAACTCGTGACAGTATTCGCAAGATAATTTCGTCACGATTTCTAAATAAAGTTCTGTTCTTCACCTTTGGAACAAAGGTAAAAAATGTGTCAGAACATATTTCTACTTGATAACTTTTTACAAATTGATTTTTATCAAAATACCAGTTCAGAAGCTTAAACTTCCTCTTTTTCTAATCAAATAATATTTGGTCTATTCGTTATTGCAGGATGTGCTGGAACATGCCTGTGCTAATTTGGATCGAAAAGTTGAACTAACTGTGGATGGCGTTATCATTCCACTGCCACCGATAGAGGGCTTAATTGTTCTCAATATTCCTTTTTGGGGTGCGGGGGTACGACCTTGGGTCGATTTATTTTCTCCGCAAGCTATCGATGATCGTTAGTTTTCAAACCACCTTTTTCGAGTGTAACACTTTATAAGTACCAAAAATTCATTTCTAAACATGCAGAGTTAAGAGTCGAGGATTAAAGCAAGGTGAACAAGAATAACATGAGATGGCACCGTCACATCTGCATAATGCTCACTTTTATATTATGACATACCTCACTAAGTTTAAAAAAATGGATCTGCAGAATAATCAGTTTTTATCAGAGACTTTTGAATGAAAGTTATGAAATATTATAAAAGGAAAGAAGTCCTGTGCATAAGAGAATTCTGTGCATAGAACTGAATATCATTTAAATTTGTTTGGCCTAGCAGAAGTTAATATTAGTTTTAGGAAAATTTGAAGTTTTTGCGGTGCGTTCATCATTTCACATTGCACAGATGCAAATAGGTGTTTCCCAAGGTATTTCACTTGCCCAAGGCAGTACTTTGAAGTTGAGAATTTTTGGTGCAACATTACCAGTACAATGCGACGGTGAAGCCTGGCTACAACCACCCGGTGTTATGCATATTACTCACAAAGATCAAGCTCTCATGTTGATTCACGAGAATTTATATGTTGAATAAATTTACGTAGAATTATTCCCAGGAATTTGCAGCATCACGCATCTTGCTAATTTTACTTGCTCTTATTATATTTACCAGGAATTTTGAAATATTTACGAGATTTTAATGGTATTTATTATATTGTCCGTGACATTGTCTCCATGAACTGTCTGAAAGTTATAAGGAAAACTGCTCAACTGAATGATTGCATTTTGTACTTGTCTGGATATTCTTAGAACTGCTTAACCAGGATTCAAAGAATATCATTGAATACTCTATTTACAAGAAATACATCTCTGTTTTGTTTCATGTGGAAGCAATTAGGAGAGATTAATTATTTGTGCTCTTTGCTGCATATTTCTGCTAAGATGATTATTTGTTGTTTGTATAGATAATATATATCTTATGGTCTCACTTTTAATTTCTTTACTAGGTGGACACTTATTATTCTTTTAATCCGTTTCATCTTCTTTCTTTTATTCTCCGTTTTCCTGGTTTTCCTGTTATTTTAATTAAATTAATTAAATTAGTCAATTTATACGCTAAACATTTTAATAAAGCAATTGGCTTGTCTCACATAATAAAATATCCATATTTATCATGGTTTTTAATTTTTTTCCGATTAATCTTACTCTTGTGCATGTAGTGGCTTCAGATTAGTATGAGTGGTGAAATTTTGTTTTTTATATGGTTTAAATTAGTGTTTAATTAACAAATTGATCCTACAATTCCGATATCTTATATTTACTTTTGACGGGTTGTAGATATCTCTAATGTTGACAGGACGATATCGGTATATTCTGTCCATCCCTTGTTTTTGCATTTAATTCATTTTGATTTGTTTTAGTCTTTTTGGAAGTCAATTTCTATTAATTTTCTAGTACTTTGTGTTAGGAGTGGTATTTATTTATCGCTACGAGATCTCATGATTAGGAGCGTCGCACATTAGTAGTTTTTCATTCGTCTGTATTTGTCTGTGTTTCCATGTTTCTTGTATTAGTAGTGTATGGTAAAAGCTAATATATATTTAATGATTTGCATGGGAATTGTTGGTTTCTAAGCATGAATCCAGAAGTTTCTAACAGTAATTTAAACATTGGTTTTTGACGGGCTTGTCTATATTTGATTATTTCATATGACTATCATGAGATTCAGGGAAAAGAGATGCATACGGACGATGAAAGCGAAATTGAATACACGGTAGTTAAACGCGTTGCATCCGTTACGATTGAATCAGATAGTCAGGTGGAAGCAGAAGCGGAGCAGCGTTCCGGACGTATAAGACGGAAGAAAAGGGTCGTAAAGCGAAAAGATATCAATGAAAAGATGGATGTCGACATTGTTTCTCAACTCAGCACTGCAAACAAAGGTAATATTGTAAGATCGACTCCTTACTGAAAATTAGGGGATGAAGTATCTGTGGTAGGAATATTGTGCTACCCTTCTTGTACGTGCGTAAAAGATTATGGTCCAGGTTTGAACGATGTTCGGGAACGCCGAGAATAAAGTAATTAAAATAATTTAGGTATGGACTGGGATGGCCTGTGCTCAACAAGTGAATTGTCATCTTCTGAAACCTGCTCCTCCGATGGTCGTGAGGCGGACGATGAGCAGTCAGATTGGGTTTGCCCTGTAAGCGAGGATCAAAACTTCCCGCTTCCTCAGACATCTACGAGACAGCAGCGCTTTATTAAGTGAATAGTTCTCAAACTCGTAATTTAAATAATCATTTCCCAACTGTTATTTCTTTTTATTGAGTTTGGAGGTTTTTATAATTTTGGAGGTTTATAATTATATACACTATGCACTTGCGCATTGTGTATATAATTTTCAGTTTATAATTTGAGAGCAATGGATTTCAGGACGCGTACTGCATCAGCAGCTCTGCAGCGAAAGCTAGAACGTTTTATTCGAGATGATAGTCAACGTGAACTGGTTGTGAAACACTGGACTAGTTATCGGCAGGTAACTTTTTTTATCTTATTTAACTAAAAATCCAAAATGTATGCAATATATTTGTAGGCTAACATATGGTGTTCAAGCGTTCAGAGTTTTAACATTTGTAAATGTATTATGGTTAGTTATCATTATCATTGTGAATGTAATTGTCTGTGTGTTCAGTCGAGATTCAAGTGAAATTTTATTGTAGGTTAGTCGAGTTTTGCAATTCTTTGGTTTGGAAGTCTCGAAAAGAGGTCGTGGAACGGTAGTTTTGAAGAAGACGCGATGAAATATGAAAACATATGCTCCTTCCTAACCAAATGCTATTCTGTGTAGCAGTTGCAATGAGTTTCTTGTGATATGTATTAATTCTGTATATTAAAATGATAAGCATAACCCTGCTAATTTATTTTTTTGTATGGTTCTTTTTGATACAATTATGTTTTCAACTGGGCATTTAATTAATTGCGGTGCTGCGTAATGATTTGTCCATTGCTTCCTTTAAATTAAATGACATTAAATTGGTTCTAAAATTGTCATTTTCAAAAGTAAAACTGTACTAAAACGTATCTTATCTTTCTGAGGTATAGCGAGGTTGATAATGCAAGTGCAATAAGTAAAGTAGAGGAAAGATTGGTTGATTATTTCAATTTTATAGAGTCATTGAATTTGAGTTGCATAATTTGATATTGGTTATTTGCCTCAGCTTATATTGATGCTTAATTCGTATTTTTCAGGACTTGTGACGAAAGCTGTTTTGAAATTATTGCGAATTTGAGCGCATTATATGCCAGGAGAGGTTAATCTGGCAAGTCAGAGACGCTTGACATTTAAAGTGTATGCACTTGTTATTTGTATTTATTTTTGCATTTCAATTTTAAGATGCAGATTCTTCGAACTGGAAGACTCGAAAATTCAGTTTCATTCTCTTCTTATCTCATAAATTCCATGAAAAGAATTTAATATAGGGAATAGTAGATTATTCTGATTAAATAAATTCAGATTCGTTCCTCTAATTTTGTTGAATGTTTATGTACGTTGGAAACTACAGAGAGTTCGGAGTACCACTGAGGAATGCGTTCACTGGACATGATTTTGAAGTATTAGTCAATGAAGCAGTACGATTGATACTAGGGCAGGCTGCGCCAAATTATTCGTTGGGTCCGTTTAACGAGATTGAACGGAAAGGATCTGTAGTTGTTCAAGCATCGGATGTGAATCTTATTTGGGCAGCACTTTCACTGTATGGACGCTTTTTTGGCAAACCCATCGCTTTGCACTTTAATTCGGTTGGCTTTTTAACACTCTCTACTATTGGGCTACACTTTTTTAACTGGTTTCACTTCAGACTCATGAAATGCTGTTGAGAGAATATTTTTTCATGAAAGCGCGCCCTATTTATATGTTGATACTGTAATAGTATTAAAATAGCTTGGCTGAATGTCTTTTCTAACATCAAGTAGAATATACTGGCACTCTGTGTAATCTTACCATTATCGCTGTCGTAGTATTTATGTTATTTTAAACAAATAATTTGGACCAAATTAAATTGAATTACCCAAATTTAGTTATTTCAAATTCTTTTCCAGTTAACTGAAGTGCAAGCGCAGTAAAATGGATATCTATTTCTGCATATCATGCGTCACATTTGCTGTAATTTTTATTTATGGACTACTGTTGATCTTAGTTTACTTTTCATTACCACGAAAAAAGCCATTGTCATTTGAAGGGAAGCATGCATTCATCACAGGTAAATTATTTACTGAATTAATGCAGATGAGATATTTTTTGATGAGATATTAAGAATATTGAATGAATACTGATGAGATATTAAGACAGATGATGAAGATATAATGAGACAGATGAGATATTAAGAGTTATCAATTTTTAAGATCTCCTTTGCCACAAAGCGTCCAGTAATAATTATTAGTATTGAAAAGAATTTAGGTTTTGCGGTAAACGATTGTGTTATTTGAAATTTTTTGAGCTGCTGCTCGTTTTTGTTTGTTGAACATTTTTATTTCTTTTAATAATAGTATAAGGCTTTTTAAAATTAAAAAGCAGAATAAAATCTTCACAGGTGGATCGAAAGGAATTGGAAAGGCAATCGCCAGAGCCTTAATACGGCGCGGTTGTTCTGTTTCTTTGGCTGCGCGGAATGTGAAACACTTAGAATTGGTGTGTAAAGAATTGAATGCACTTGCAAAAAGCAAGAAAAATGGTGCAGTTGCAAAATATTACAGTGTTGACGTCACTTCATCCTATAGTGTGGTGAGGAATATCGTGTAATAAGTAATTGAGTATCATTCAAGCTAAAGATAAAATAAGAAGTGAGAACAAAAATTGAACCTAGTGTTTATTTGATTTTTTAAACTATGTTTAATAAACTTTCATAAAATGTTTTGGATTTTTTGAAAATTTTCATGAATCTTGATTAAGCTGAAAGCAGTGGTAGAAGAAGCAGAAAATGAACTTGGTGTTATCAATATTTTGGTGAATAACGCTGGGTACGCTCTGCAAGGCGCTTTTGATTCGATTGACATATCAGTATATGAGGAACAAATGTGTTTGAATTTCTTGAGCGCGGTATGCTTTTATGCAATAATGAGAACTGAAGGGTGAAGAGGACTGTCGTGATCTCAAATTCATTTCCTTACTTCTCCTTTTTCCTTAGAGTTATCATTTTGTGATTCAAATAGTATATGTGCAAAACGCATACGAAATTTAAATGCCGACACACTAACAAAATATCTTTGCTTTCAGGTTTATATGACTAAAGCAGTAGTATCCAAAATGAAAAAGTTGCGAGACGGTCAAATCATTTTTGTGAATTCTGCAGCGGGTCAATGTTCAATTTGGGGATATACTGCTTACGGAGCAACAAAATTCGCAATGCGTGGTTTTGCTGAAGCGTTGCATATGGAGCTGCTTCCATACAACGTTCAAGTTTCGGTAGTCTATCCTCCAAATACAAATACCGAGGGCTACCAGGTTTCAAAATTTTCCAATTAATATATGATTGAGATATCACCATTAATCAAGGTCACTGAAAAGTAGTTTTCATATGCCGTTGATAATTTATTCAAAAATCTGGAAATAAATGACAAAGGCTCATATTGTGAGCTTTTAAGCGTGAAATATTGACAATGCCAGAAGAATTGAAAGAAATCAGTGGTACCGCGGGACTGTTTGAGCCAGAAACAATTGCTGAATGCCTCATTTATAATCTTTCTCGTGGTAATTATCATACATGTATTGGTTTCGAAGGATGGGCACTTGGAGTATTGTCAGCGGGTGGTGCGCCGGAGAAAAGCTTTTTGCAGGCTGTTGCACAGGTCATTTAATTTTTCGTATGTTTTGAATTTTTCTGAAATATCCAAACAATCATCAAAATGTGTTGGTAGTCCATGCTATGTTTTCCTCATTTTTCGATTGTTTTTCTGTCTGATCAATATTCTTCATAAATTTTATTCATCTTCTTTATTCAGGTGCTCTTTGGTGGTTTGCTGCGGGCGGTCATGCTCATTTACATCGGACATTTTAATTGGATAGTGGAAAAATGTAGGCTTAAACGATGAATATCTGCCGAGAAACTTAAGCCATATTCATCATTATTTGTTTGATCATTTGAAATACATGTTCATCCATGTAAAATGCCTTGCGTTAACGATATTTTATTCCGGTGCATAATTAGAATCTTTTAATGGGTATCACCTTGACTTTAGTCGCAGGACAAAAGCTCAGAACTTGATATATGGGGGCAGCATGAAATTTATAATGAGCTTGAGTGAATTTTGAATCAGTGACATTACGAAATAGTATCATGTTACACTGTGTTGGTACATTAGTAAGGAACAAAAAGAAGGATATAACTTGTTCACACAATGTCTTTTCAAGCATGTAATTTGCAGTATGGAGCTCCATTCTTGGCATAAAAATTCTCTCCTTCCAAGTTCACGTTGCAGCTCTGAAGTGAACTAAATTTGAGTAAGATAAATTAAGCATGCATGTATCTAATCTAGAAACATTGACATTCTGTATCCTTAATTGTTTTTTGCTTACCGTTTTTAGACCGAAATGTTTTTTAAAGGTCTTCAGTATTGTTCGGATTACTTTTGAAGTTTAGAGCTTCTGTAATGTTCGACAAAACTATTCAACGTGATAAATTTACCGTGCAGTTAAAGCAGTTTGAATGGAATGCAGCTCCCAATGCTTCCACCCATCTGTCACCGGCTTCTATCGGGTAATGACACGACACGCACTTAGTTGTGAATAGTCTATTCCAATCTAGAATCTAAGGTTGTTCTTTATCTCAGATTGTCATGTTTGAGAGTATTTAAATCTACGCTTAGCTACTTGATGACGAAAATGTAACAAGTTGAAGTACTTTAGTGAATGAACTGAATATGATGGGCTTGCCTGTTTCACAATATGGTTGTCCTTGTTCGAGGAAAAACGCAGAATTTCCAAATGGATTATGACAATGCGCGCAAACAAAGCAGTGCGGATGCCACTGTTTCTGAAGCGCATTCAGACAGTCCTGTAAAAAGAAAGGGAATAGGTAACCGTAGCTGTAATAGCTTTTACAACTGACCCAGCGATTCCATATTGTTAAAACATGTTTTCCCTGTGTTCGAGAAAACCATGAAAACACTGGTTGTATCCCCTGACGATATCGATTCCACGCTGTACATTTGGACGATTTCAATTTAAAGTTTTTTTTTTAAACTAACAGCAGTTATCGGCTGATTGCATTTAGCACATCGTGGAGCAATTTCAGTTTCAAAGCAACGCTCGCAATATTTATGTCCTTTTTCTTCTACGAAACCGATATCCAACAATTTGCGACCACATGATTTGTTGGAGCATATAAAATGATTTGGGCAGTATGCTAATCCATTAGCTAAGACGTATGCGCCCCTACAAAGCAATGCCAATTCCAAGTTGTTAAAATTTTGAAAGCCAATCTAATCAAAAAACTTTCATGGCCACTCTTAATCATCACTGCTATACTAATGAATAATCCCAATGTCATCGTATTGCGTAATTCAAGATAATTGCTCTCAGAACGTATATATCTTATATTTATTAATTTTTAGACTTGAATTATTTATACAAACTTTCGTTTCGAACTGGAAAGCGAAGAAATAAGTATACCTTATTTCTTGTCTGCAGTCTTTGCAACACGGTGCACGGTTACTTTGAGTATGAAGTATGCCTCGACCTTTTGGCAGTTCGTCATTTTGTGATTCATGCACATTTGATGGTTTAATATACGAATCCCTGTTGACTGCAAATTTCTAGAATTCTAAAGAGACAGAACGAACAGCAGAAGAGAAGTTTATTCTTAGGCCGAAAAAATGAAAATTTTAAATTTTAAATGAAAATTTTAATTTTTTTTAAAGCGAACAGCTTCTAGCAATGAGTTATGAATGTCAGTACATATGGAATCATGGATATTTGAATGTGTTAGAACAGGAATTGAAATTTGAATGTAAACTGAGATTAAAAATCTGTTCCAAACTTTCTGCATCGGTATAATAAGCGTTTCAAACACTATGGAAGTAGAAAAGTGCATGTCAATGAAGCAAAAGAAATGAAAAGAATTACGAAATGGTTTAGATTTTGAAGCGTTTAGGAAGGAAAGAAATGCAAGTTCTTTTACGAAAACAATTCAGTTTATATTTCTGATCAATGCTCACTAGACTTTTTGAAGAAGTTCACAGAATCTTCAACGAGATTCCACTTTTATGAGAATCAGGTAATTGAATGAAGTTGAATGAATAACCTAATAATTGAATGAAGAACGTGTGTTTTTCATATCAATTACCTCAGAAACTTTAGACTTTTCAGGACGCTCACCACATGACTGTTAGTGGTTTTTAATTAATAAAGCAACCAGAAAGTAGCACATACCTGCCTGTCCATCTATTTCTTCATCTATTCGCACACTTATTTCACAGCAACATGTTAAAACTTTAATTCTATCTATGATGAGTTATTATTAACTGCAAGATACTTAATTTCTTCTAAATCAGTATTGTCGTCAACTTCCGAAAATATGATTTCGTGAATAAGACATGACGAACCAATGTAGGTCTCACTTCTGATAATACAAGTACCACTGGATCATCATTGAAATTAAAGTAAGATATCAGCCTCTCCTAATTAAATTACTAGACTGAAAAGGTGAAAATACAAAAAAAAGATTGTAAAAGAGGATCGAGGAATGATGAAATAGGAGCTATTGGAATGATACACACCTTTGTTCACATGCTGTTTCATGGAGAATTTCGATAATTAGAATGATGGCGCTACAACGCCCAAACGATTTTCATCATAAAAAAATATCACCAGCTAGATTTCGACAATTGTTTGACCGATTTTCCACTACTTTTATTACTTTATTTGGGCCCGGATATTTTGTACTTTCTTGTTGCTGATGACAAAAACCATTTCCATCCACCAATCTGTCTTCCATGCTAGAGTACCGTAGCACTAACGTAAAATATGCAATTTGTTGATTATCATAAAAAATTGAAATTTCTCTTTAAAGGATATTAAAATTTCTAGAATCAGTTTTTATGAAATCCCTTTCAAAGCTCTTTTGATAACAGTTAGAAAAAATTTTCACTAAAGCATGAAATTTTTGCATACTTGTTAAGATTTTTGAGGAAATCGATAGTATTTTCAAGCATATATGAGAGTTCCTTCGCCGGATCATGTAACTGCAGCTGATATCGAGTGATACTTTCAATAGCAATTTGCTTATCACGTTCTTCAATGAGATCCAAGCCCGTGTATTCTTTTTGTCCCTTCTCGATTTCTCCTCCAATCCTTTTCATTACCTTTTGATTTTCATTATTAATATCGAGCACATTCCATTCTTCACATGTTGTCCATCGATTTCCTTTACTCTTTCTATTTTTCTCACTGTGGGACAGATCTTTCACAGTAATATCCTGAGAGACATTAGTAATAAACTTTTTTTCCATTTCAACAATTGACTCCTCCTTTTCAATTGTATCTAAGCCGATATTTCCAATTTCATCGCAATGATTTTTAACATCCTGTGGTTCTGTTTTACCACACAGCTCCTGAACATCACGTCTCTCCTTGATGGGAGGATTTTTCACTTCCATACTATTATGGGTGTCCACATCGACGACATCACCTTCATCGAAATTTTGTCCTTCCCTTTCGTATCCCTTCCTTTGGTTTTCCCGAATTTCTGAATTTGCAATCTCGTGATTAATATTCTGACAGATCGTAACCAAATCTGGCTTGTTTTGAATATATTCTTTCATCTCCTGATATTTATCGATATCATTCGGAGATACTGCTCTCCAATTATCGCACTCACAGCTATTCACGTTATCAATCAAGTTCTCTATATCTATTTTATGCATCTCTTCCACATCACAGTTGTATTCGTCTAAAAATTTTTTTCGTTGTTCCGTATGTTCTGAATAATTTGAATTTCGAAATAACATATCACATGGCATCAAATGGCATCTGCATGCCATGCTAAAATTACCTTCAATGGTTCTGTTCTTTTCCAGGTGATCGATAGGCTTTTCCAGATGATTGGTAGGCTTCCAGTGATAACTTTTTTCTTCACCTCTTAACAGGTATTGTTTAGGATTTGGAGGCTTTCGTAGCTTGTCCTCATTTTCCTTAATATATTTTGACAATGGCAGGAGCAATTCATCTTGTCCCGGTTTGCTAGAAATCGAATCTTTAGAAACATCAGCAATCAAATAGCTGCATTGCCAATATCTCTTGATTTTGTGAGATTCTGGAGGCCAGTGATGTTTGCATGGAAGCCGACGTGGAGACGTTACTTTCTGGATTTCAAGCGGTAAAGATCGGACACGACTTAATAACTTTTGCGAAGGTTGGTGTGATTGTTGATCAGACATGTTACCTGCGTGAATGCACAAATGACGCTAGCACACAAAGGACATTTGACAAGGTTACGGAACAAACACTGACATAAATAACTGTAAACATTTATATAAGTAAAATCCGAATTCACATAAAAACAAGCATGTTACTTCAGTTGTAGAATTATTAAATTCACTTCGTAGCCAATTTATTGTTTATGAAACCAAAATAAAATTTTTCTGACTTACTTATTAAAAATTGGTAATTTCCAATCTTTACGTAAGCTTTTTGATGTTAAGAACTATATTAGGGTCTAATTATTTATCTTCAGTTTATTTTTCGACTTCATTTTGATGTTAGCACTGGTACTTTTAAGACCGCTATTCAGTAATCTTCTATTTTCGGCCAACTGACTTCCCATTGTATAAATTAGCTGAATTCACCTGAACTCATCGACGAATTGTAAATTTCCTTCTTCAGTTCATTCAATTCCTGTCCATATAAAGTAGCTGCTGGTGGCACACCTCGATTGCTTGGACTAAAATGTTATTCTTCTCAGTTGTGAATATTTACATCATACAGTTCAAACAATAATGCATTAATATCTGAGAAAGTTTTCTTTATGACTCACCAAAAATAGAATTATTTTATTTGCGCTTTTATTTTTGCATTATTATTAAAAATTCAATGCTAATGAAGAATATGATTTCTAATATTCAGTAATTTCTTTTTATCCAAAAAGAATGGCTAATATGTTTGACTTCGTAGTTATTAATTATATGCTAAATTATACATTAACTAGATATATATTATATAAGCTTGAGTTGTGTGCTATCGCAAATTTTCTTATCTTATAAATATCTTTACCAACTAACCAATCAATCAAAAATCCAAATATATGTTTCCAAAGTTACCTTTTAGTTTGAATTTATGCTATCTTATATAATTTTATGAACAATATTTCAGAATTAATAGTTCTAAGTATTTGATGAGTCACGAATATATAGAATGAAAATTGCAGAGCGAACATAACGCTGTTGCTGAATCTTCTCTCCAGCCAGTGAAAATATGGAAAAAATAAAAGTCGAAAAGTTAGTTTTAGTTTCTAAATACCCTCCTACCGAATTGTGATTTTGTCTTTTCTAATTACTTGATAAAATAACAATGAATTCGAATGGATTTCAAAACTAATGAGAAATTGAAATGTTGTCAATGATATAATTGATAACATTTGCTGTTCCATAACAATATAATTTCATTTATATGTACTGGTTGAATTACCTAGTTTGTCCATCAGAAAATAAGTAATTATTTTCTTCTGAAGAGTGAATGAGACTATTATATTGAAAATATTAAATAAATATGCAAAATTTGTACGGTTTGAAATCAAGTGATATTTTTGCCATTAAATAGAATGAAAATCCTTTCAATTATAAACCAATCTTGTTGGGCAGGAAATCCGAATCTAGCAAACATATATTTTTAAAAATGAAATTCGAAAAATTTACTGAGCACCTGATGGGACTTTGTGTCTTCCATGGTGTTGGAATGATTGAAATCGATTGCCGAGTCATAACTTCTGGCTGATATGGAGTTAGCAAAGTATTTTTGTCAGAAGTTGGAACGATTTTGGGCTTCCGTCTGAGATGTAAAAAAATCTAAGACAGTTGTAGAATTCCAAAAAATCGATTTCTTCTATTTTTTGTTTTTGCTTCTTTTATTATATTTGCATGCTATTAAGCAATTCAATCAAGCAAAACTGATTTCCTTGGGATCCGTTCAGAAGGTTTGATCTCATATTCTCACATCACCGTAGTCAACATCAACACCAATGTCATCATAACTGTTAACCACTATGATTGTTTTTGTTATTTACGATTAAAAACATCCTTTGTACACCACCAGATGTTTTGTACCCGAATTTTGGAACTTGTTGTTGCGAGGTCCTAATTCCAACCCTAATTTGTAGTAATATTTCCTGCAATAGACAAGTGGTGGAAGAGAAGTTTAGATGAAAGAGATATGATAATAGGAGGTAAAAAGACAGAATGAGAGGGAAAAACTGTTCCCAATATTGCTTAGTGTTTCCTTCACAGCCCACTAAACATCCTGAAAAAGACTCTAAAGTTTAAACCTAAATCTAGAATTGATCGGTTATCATCGAATCTATCACTACCAATGAGTAACAAAAATAACATACGCGACAGACCAGTGGATTTGATCACGTTTTGCGACGCTACTTCCTCCTCTAAGCTGACGGCCATGGATGTCGCAGTAAAATTTATCATTGATAAAATGGTGTCCTTGGTTTTTGAGAAAACTACCACACGTTGAACATTGGAAACAATCACTATGCATTGTACGGTCATATGCTCGGCACATTACTCCTCTAAAATGCTCAAATTATGAGGTACACTCCTAGATAACGATGGTTGAATTTGTCATAATTCTTAACTCTCATTAAAAAATTTATTTAAATTCATCAATTGTTAGTTAGCTCAAGGATAAGGATAGAATAATAGAATAACAGGCTAAGTATATCTATCAGTTAATCTAATTCTTTTCGTCACACTTTATTTCGCAGTGCTGCAGGTATTATCTTGGATAAGAGCGATAGGAATGATAAATGATAAATGAGATTGTTAATTTCTTATAATTGAGTAATATTTTTACAGCTTTCCATCCTAATGTGTTCAAATACATTAAAAAATTTTGTCTTCATCAGTTTCACCCCGTATATCAAATGGATTAGGAGAGAGATGAAGTGACAAAATCTGCAGAAGTTACTTTATTTCTTATGCTATTTAATTTGGGCTGGTGATGATTCTCATTTTAAAACATTAAACTTTTAACTAGTTTAATTCTAAATCCATTATTCTCATTTTTTAATGAGTTTTCAGTTGACGGTTTACTTCCTCACTTATAAATACCGTCATCATTTATGAAACACAAAATTAGACACTAAAATATTAGCAACTTCAAATAAAATCGAGATACGATGTCATTAAAAAGGAGATGAAGCCCTTATTTTCCTTCACAGTTCCTTTTCCAATGCAACATTATTTCCTTAAACTATTGATATCACTAAAAACATGGAGACAACGAAGTTTGTTATTTCACTCCTCGTGAAAACCAGTACCGCTGATGTCCTAGGCAGCCATGAAAATTTGTTTGTTTGTGAATATTTTGCGCATAATATATTCTGCGCATTAATGTATAAGTGATGAATTATTATGATTATCACATGCTGAATAACAGAAAAAAAATTGAATGCGCTAATGTAATGATGCATAACTTAATCGGCAATATGCAACCAAGCAAAGATTATCGGTCTGGTAAAACTTTAATACCGAGGCAATAATTTGGTTATTCCTAAACATGCCGGAAAAAAATCAACGAAAAATTTTGAAGATCAAAATTTTTCCATCAAATCGGAATATATTTAGATTTCCTGCACTAGAATCAATGTCACAAACTTAAATGAGAGCTGTCAAAATAACATACTTAATATTGCGTCCACAAATAAAACACATCGGTGCTTCGGGAATATTTTCCACGTTCGGTCGAGTTTGTTCTGAAAATGAGTGGAGTTTAACATAAAGTTGCTTATTATTTAGTATCACAAACATCATAATGACTGACTCAAATATATAATAACCACTAAGTTGGTTGCAGTGCTCTTACGGTATTTGAAATTCAAAACTTGAAAATTTTACTGCTAAACTGCAATAAAATACCTTGATTGATTTTAGTTGATCTAACTGATATCGCATGTTCTCCATTTTCTTTCGACCGTTCACTTTCCTGGATGAGGCGAAGCGTTTCCGACCGCAAATACAACGGAACTTCCTTTTGTTTAGCCAAATTTGGGCTGAAGTATTTTCGTACTTAAGTCCTGAATGCCATTCTTGCTTGATCAAAACAATATGGCTAGCCTTGGTTGAAAAAAGCTTTTAAACATTAAACTTGGAAATCCTATGGTCAATGTAATTATGCTTATTTCTGATCTGATTATAGTGCAAAAATCAATAAACAGTAATAACAACGAAGTATGTAGCAGTTGTTGTGGTTTAACAGAAGATATAGGGCGATTATTTTGATATGTGGGTCAAAATTAAGATGTCCGTAATGGATACAGCTGATTTAAGGCATTTTGTTTTATTTCTCTGCATGCAAAATTCTAGTTTTGATTTACGAATAAATCAAACTTTTAAAATACATGTAAGTTGGCTATCTTCTAAGATGTTAAAAACAAAATATGGTCATTGTTTAAATCAAAGCATACTCAGTTCCAAATAGTCCACCCGTTTGTTGAAGATATTGTTCGGCAGCTGTTTGTGGCGAATAAAGAGACATTGGTGAATTGTACTGTAAATGTTTCACCTCTTGATGATCACCGAATGGTTGAGCTGCGACGTTAAAACCCGGGATTGGGATTGGTTCCTGGAAGAATCTGGTTTGGCAAATGTCGAATAATCCACCCAAATCAGTTTTTGTTTGAACAATGTGTGGCCAAAAAGTTAATTTGAATTAATAGTTCCCATGATTTTAAATCTAGAAAAACTTCCTTTTCATATTACTGCATTTTTCAAAATTAAAAGCTCGCATACAAATCAAGATTGAATTGCCGGCTAGTGTGATTTTGGAAATTCTATGAAGAACGACATGATAATTTTTAATCTAAATTAAAAATAAAACAATGTTGCAATAAATTTCCTATAAATTTAGTCGGAAAGAATAATGGCAAACACAACTGTGCCTTATTTTTTAAAATACATTAAAAATAACATGTTTATACATTCGAAATAAATTTCGAAGATATATTGTTATGCGGGTAGAAGTTAATGCACTGAACAAACTTCTGTTAGCGCGACTGCTTTCGAAGATCTTTTTCAGGAAAGAAATCAAAATTTAGAGAATCTACTAAGATACAAATCTATAAGTTGATCAAGACTATATTCTTTTCCACAGTAACTGCGTTCGATATTCTACCTACTGAAAGAGATGCAAAAAGTGGCCAAGGAAACTCTGGCGCTTTAAAAATATGGAATGCGAACCAGCACCTCAAATTATAACTTTCATCACCAAAGATGAGGAAAGTTATAATTTGCCCGAACTTTAACAGCGAGATGAAAAATCAATGGATTGGAATTGAAATGAAAATTTACGAGTCTGAAAAGCTATCTCGGACTAACTGGAATTTCTCAGCAAACTATGGATCAATGCTATCAAGGCAATGAAGAGAGTGCCAAGTTAACGTGTCAAATGGTCGTAAGTGCAAAAGTCGGTACCTCATTTCAATTGAGAGTACTAGAATAACAGCTTTAATTCTTTTACATTTGGGCTGCTTCAGTCTTCTGCAAAAATTTTATTGGCAATCTCGGATCTATGGTGGCTGTTATCCACAATTCTTATGAAATGATAAGTCTATCCATCGCTCGAGGATGGTTGTCTCTAGTTGTCTCTTGTGAAGTATCATATTCCACCAGTTACGTAGAATTTGAGTTCTAATAAACATTCACTAAATAAATTCGTCACATTGAAGAATTCTCAGCAAAAAAACTAAAACATAAGTTTAATTTTGAACTTCAAAAAAATTAGATTTGACTATTCTTTGTTCTGTCGGATGAAAAACAAAAGCCGAAATTTCCCATTGCCAATTATGAACATTTAGCGAGAAAAGATAAGGTGGTTCTTTCACGTGTTGCGAAGGAAAAAAAATTATTGTCAATAAATGTCGTAAGGAAAAGTGTGATAGGAAATCAGTTTAAGATAAGACCATGGTTACAAACGAGATCAGAACTTCTAATTGAAGTGGTTTGAAATATGCTTCTGTAATGTAATCATTCTGATTCCTTCTCATTCAAAAATTTTGAAATGTAAACGAAAAATTTTCATTGAAAGTTTAATTTATTGAAATTAAGTAAAATTCTAAACTCTGCTCGTAGATAAAATGAGACCACAAGAGGGTGGGTAATTAATTTCGATGAAATACATTTTCAAATTAATTTAGAAAATTATGTTCATTCAATCTGTCACATAACTTTTTAGTATTTGTACTTTGTTCATCATGATATTTCACAACTAAGTTTTATTATCTTGAAAATTCCACTGTGTTGCATATGATTCTTATTCAAAGGAGAAAATAGTGGAAGAAAATGTGTTAATTTACTAGGTTTTGCTAATTTTAATTCAAATGAAGCAGAAATTACCGGGTTCTGGTGTTCCAGAGACACTTTTAAAGGAACAATCGGAGGCTCCATCTTTTGACCATCAGTCGAAGGAACATTGAATACAGAATGTTGGAATTTATTATATTCTGTATTTCCGGTTACCGATGGTCGCCAAATTCGATGTATTATATTGTCGCCTGTCCTAAAATTATCTATTTTTGTTACAATTCAAATGTTAAAAATTTTTTTTCCGTGATTTAATTATTAAAAAGATTTCGATGTACGTTAATCATAGAAGTAAAAGAAATAGAAAATTTACGAGAGCTTAGGTGTACAGGCAAGTTGGTACATAAGAATGACTGGATTAAATTGGAATGTTCGAATGGGACGGGCGCAAAGGATGCCTCCCAGTTGAGCTGAGCGAAAATTTTTCAAAATTAGGACAATGCATGTGCAACTCACTTTTACACTTGCCATGTGTTAGATTTTGAAAAATTTCCTCGAAAATAATGACACCACCTCAAATAAATTCTAAAAATCTTTTGTCAAAACATGAAACCCGCTATTTCCTCTATTCTACTGTTTTGCAACAGCTGCTGCAGGCTTCCCATCACTAACAATAAGTAATCATTAACAAATAAAAATCAAAGATAATTCGTAATTTTACAAATCAGCAAGTTTTGAAATCTCGTCTGTTATGAAATTGAAAAATAAAGTTAGAAACTATTCATACTGTTTTAATACCGGTCAATATCAAAATTTCCAGCTCTCAAAATTTTGGTTCAAATGTTATATATTATTATTTTTTCTCGTCTTGTATCACAATAAAAAATAAATATATAAAATTATTTGGTAATGAAAGTTGTTGCCAACATTTTCACTGATTCTAATTAATCTAATCACTAACCTATGTACAATCAATTCCACTCTATGCTCTGTTTTCGACAACAATTGTTTTGCCAATTCGACATTTAAATTTTGGTGACCTTCAAGTTCTACTAAAACATCTCCATTTAGTAAGCCAGCACGGTCAGCTAGAGAACCTCCGATTACCTGAAATTTCGATGCTGCAATATAAATATTTTCAATCGAGCTGGAAACTGTGTTTTTTTAAACATACTTTGGCAAACTATCAACATTATCAATACTCGAAAGTTCAACTGCTGAAACGTCGAGTAAATTAGCATTAATTACTTAATTCGCATAGCAGTATCTTCTAAAAAATCTAACGAGAAGTTTTTTAAATTTCCGTTTGTTTTTTTCTAAACTAATTTGCTCATTGTAAATAAAATTCCATTGAAAGGAAAGAGGGAGAAAATGAAGTAGAGGAATTCTTAATCAAAACGATGATTTTCGATACAGAAAAAAAGAGCTATTGTTTTTTTTTTGTTTGTATCAGGAAATTTTAAATGGCTAAGAAAGAGATACAAAGAAAATCAAATGATCATTAAATATTCGTTGTTCTGATGTTTTTAATAACCGAAAATTTAGGCGCAGTTTCTATTCATAACATTATTTGTAGCCAGTCAGCTTATCAAAGCAACATTATTTTTTTTCACGGCATTTCTTATGCATTCAATTTTAAAAAATTAACTATACAATTAGAATTTTGTGAAAAAAGTTCGATTCAAGAATTTGTCAAATTTTTTTTAAAAATCCTATGCGAAAGTGAAAGTGCAATTAATTGCTGCCCAATTTTTCTTTATAAGGAGGGCTGGTGCTAATATTTTTGCAAAAAAGTGATACAGTCACATTGAAGTTGTGCACTTAGCAAATAGCCTCTCCGGATCACCATTATGCCAGATACGGAACTGAGTAGTTATTTAGAAAAGCATCTCTTTTTATGACGCACACCTGTATGTCACATGTGAAATTAGTACGGCCCTATAATACTGGCTATCAAATGTATTCCGTTAGATCTATAATGGAAGTAGAAGAATGAAAAAATTCAATAGAAGAAAAGAAAGAACTTTCTGATTTTTTTAATCTTTACCATAAGGAGCAAATTTTAATCATTGTGCAACAAATTTTAAACATTAAAATACTCTGCTTCTTAGTTTCTAAGCTTTGAAGTGAATCAAATCTGTGATTTTTGTCTAATTTTATTTTTTAGAAAATTTTCGTCTCAGCGGTTTTTTTTATAGAATGAATCATAGAATCGTTGAGAGCTCAGACACAGTGCATGTTTTAACAATATCTTATAGATTAACGGTTTGCTCATTAGCGATGTCACAATAAGAGAACATGATGGATAATAAGAAAAAAAAGAAAAATTATAGTTCATAAAATTTAAAACTTTTGAAGTTTCATTTCTAACTTCTAAAACTACTTAAGTGACCATTTATAATAATTATACATTAACGATGGCGAGTTCAGGTCCAATATCGAAGCCCCATGGTGTGTCCATTTGGCCTCGCGACATACGCACCGTCACCATTTCTGCCTGAGCCATTGCTGCTATCGATATCCTCTAAAGCAAATTTGACCACTGAACTGTTCTGAAAGTTTTCTGAGAGAATTTCGGTAAAAATCTGGTCGATTACGGAATTTCGGAAAACATCAAATCGTAGCAATACGATCCTAGTTACAATAAATTATTCAAAACATCATCCACTCACTTTTTTTGTCAAAAAGTTAATGTATCCGAAATAATGAATAAGGAATATTCAGTATCCAAATGACATGTGAATTTCAACAAGTCTTGGTTGCAAAAAAAATGTTAAGAATGAAAGTGAATGTGAAAACATCTCAGAAAATGTTCTCTTTTGCTCAGTAGTGTTTCTTGCTTACACTTCATTCAATCTCGTGTTTTCTTGAAAGTGCAAGCACAGAATTTCGACTATTGTAATGCTTGTTTTCAACGGGGTTTTAGAAAATACTCGATGAAGAAGTTAGAAGTTTGAATGATATTCAGGAATTTCACATGGTCTTTGGGACATTGTAACAATTTCAAAAATAATCTACATTCACAATCAAATGCCGTTTATTAGTATAATTCGACATAAAAAATAAACAAATATCAGCTGATATTTGTAGTCATTCATATCTACCTATATTAGACATGATTAATGAATAGTTCGCTCTTTAATATAATTATAGTAGTATTTCAGCAATATTTGCAAGATTCTATTCCAATAAATTTAGAAAATGTCACATCTTCGAAGCTCCAGCTTAATATTTAAATTTAATTGCAAAATCACCGCTTTATCAACTAACAAATAGGATATCACAGATATTACCACAGTGCATCATCATCACTTGTCATTAACACTCATATCATTATAACATGCTTATCAATCGATTTTGAATAAATCCTACAGAGTTCCAATAATCAGGGAAGGATGGTTATGGGGAAATGAAGGGAAATTTCGTGGATGACAGTTCGTTTGAAATAACATTGTACGAATGGAAATAATATTGCCAGCCCTACCAGCGTGATCTTTCCCAGTGTAAGCAAATCAAATTGCGGTGTATCATAACTTCACGTTCCTTCTACGATAAAGGCACACTCTGTCCGCGTCGGTAATCTGTGTGTGTATGTATGTTTGTGCGTGCGTGAGTGTGCGAGTGTGAGTGAGTTCGATAGTCATAAAATGAAAGCTAAATAATGAGTCTCAAATTTTATTTATTGATAGGAGATTTAGAACTTTAAATGATATTTTGCACACCAAATAGTAACACAACAATCTTCTTGATCCGACAATTATCGTTAGATAATTGTTGAAATCTTATGAAAAGCCTAAAAAGTGAAAAAGTAAGGCTCTAAACATTTGTAATTCCTTAAGAAGAAATAAGCAAGAAAGATGAAAGAAATTTGAAGTGAACAAAGTTGTTAATAATACAGGTACAATCAATGAAGCATGTTATTGGCATAATACTTACCGCGTCCATTTTCCATCCCCCACAGTAAACTAAGTCCAATTCATGCTAAGAAAGCTAACATTAGAATGAGTCACTTCATTCGTTTCAATCCGGTTTGTTCCATTTTCCATTTATTCGAAATTACTTTTCATACATACAAATCGAATTCTTTCTTCATCAATAAAATGTTAACAACGTCCTGAGATTTCGTCCATACTTATAGAACTACAGTTTATTCAAAAATTCCGAACGACTGCAATCAGTAGATCACAAACAGTGTCATCAAAATTGTATGTAATAAAAAGGCAATAATTTGAGACTAAAATTTTCATGCCGGGAAAGCAATAAAAGTGTCCAATCTAAATAATTTTGAACTCGAATACCAAGTTTACGATCTTTTGCGACATTTTGCCAAGTATGTTCGAACATCGAATCGTGCTGTGGAACCTGTCAAAGTATAAACCGCTATAAACAGATGTTGCTATTTTGGAAGATGATCTAATCAACTAATATAAAGTAACAGCAAGTTTTATATTCTTTTCCCCTGGAAGTCATAGTTGAAACTTTACTGCTTTGGAATTAATGAAATTTTTCTCATCAAAAAAATCAACAGCTCATTTATATATTAGATATCCACTGACGTTGGAAATTGTTGCCAGTGATTATTCAAATCTTGTATTCATCTACCTGATCCAGGTACAAATTTCAAATAAGAACTTAATCATAAATGAGATTAATTTTTTTTAATGAGTCAGTAATAGATGAATAATTTAGTAATGAATAGCCCAGTGATCATTCACCTTTTGCTGATTAGTTGATTTTATAGTTATTGCTTTAAAAAAGTGAGTTATCCCCATATCCGATCAACTTAATCGATTAGAACAAATGCACCGTAAATCCATTCAACAAAAATTTGCAGCCTTTTAATGGTTTTTGAGTTATTATCACTCTAAATCTAGCAAACTTGCATTCGCCTAAATAGTTATCAATAAACAATTAGGTTTCTACTAACATAATATTCCAACTGACTGTTTCATCACCTTCACAAAACTTTAAGCCAACATGAATATGCAACCTTGCGCGTGCATAATTTAACTCAGTTTCAAATATTTTAATTGCTTATTCACAGATTAACTGAATTTACATTCTGCTGAAATAAATTTCCTGTAGCGAAAGACTTTATGGATGAAAGCAAAAGTTTGCACTCATGTAAGGTGTGTGTACGTATGTGTGTGTTGTGTGTGTATGTATGTGTGTGAGATGACAGATAGGGAAGGATATTGAAATGGTTGAGTGAGATATAATGCATGTGGAACATATGAAAGTAGGAGAAAATGAGGAGGAGTTGAAGACAGTCTCGGCGATAAGAGCGGTTGTTGAAAAGTTTATCCAACAAATCAACAGTTGGAACATTGTTCTGTTCGAGTCTTTCTTTGCGATATATCAGCGATTCGTTTGTTAAAAATCGAAGATTAGAAGATGTGTATATTATGTTGCAAATTTTTAAGAGCAATGAATAGTGAGACAACATTCCAAACAATCTAAATTTTCATCCGAATAATGAATTGTTAATCACCAAATTATTCGTTAAGCTATGAATAATCACAATTGAATGAAATGTTCGATTTTAGTGACTTATAAATCATTTCAAAATTTAAAAAAAAAAAACAAAATTAAGTCTAATTAAGATTTCGAATTAAAACGATCACACATTGTAATAGCACAGCGATCTTTAAAATGTGAGATCATCAATTTTCATGCCATAACTGAACAACAAATTAAAATTTTAAATGCTCACATAAATGAATTAAGCGCAATATGTATTGCATTTTCGTTCTGAATATATTCAAACAGATTTGTTCTTAATAATTTTGCGATGAGTCACAATTTTTCTATTTGATAAATAATAATATAATGGATGTTTTTAATCAGACCAAGCAAAAATTCGAAAGGTTTTTAAAATCTGTTTTCATTTTATTTGTGGTGACATAATAAAAGATTTTCTTATTTCTCTTTGATAATAAACATTGAAGACAATTTTTTTCCAAATCAGTCGGAATAAAATATTTGTGCAAAACTGATAAGCACACACCATTTAGGTAAAGTAATTTGTATCACTTGAGGGATTATCAATTTCATTACATTAAAAATTGGTAATAATACTATGCTTCATATTAGAACAATGAATTAAAAAGGAATCAGGTCTGTGTTTCCTTTCATATTTCCGTCATGGAATACTACAATGACGTGGCAAAATGAGGAACAAACTTCAGGGATTGAAAAATGTTAGATTGGTAAAGAAAAGTTACAAAATGTTACATCCATATTTAAAAAATTCGCGGTATATTGATGGCATTTGAAACCACACCGAGAAAAGAAAGACTGTTAGAATGAGTGGACGCAAAGGTTGCTGAAAATTTGAAACTTATCAGACAGGCTATGATAATAATATTAGCTTAGTATAAGAGGGCAACAAAATGAAGAGTTTGTGCAGAGTTAAATAGCGCCGTTCGATGCATTTGTATTTTAAGCAGTGAGCTTTCGCAGCTGTTCCTCCACACATCTAAACAACTACATCCACTACAAGTAAAGTGCTTATAAGTCGAGAACTAACTCTCGAGCTCTTCTTTTTCTGCTCCCATTCTACATCATCTTGCACTGAAATATCTCATTACACACACATATAATATTGAATTTTTAAATGTTTCCCAAAAATGTTCACATAGTATAAAGAATTTACCACTTTCAAACTGCCTTATTTTTAGGCTGTTTGCTTGTTCTAATGGCATTAAAAATTTCATAAACTATTTATTAATATTATTATTAGCTTTTAAAATTCATTCATTGCAATAATTTGAAGATTTTCTTTTGTTATTCACATAGTTTATTTTAATTTTTATTAAAAATATCCAACGAATAGTTGAAAACTTCATGTTCAGCATTATCATAGCTTTTCTTCAAAAACATTTTTATCTCGAGATTACAACTCTTGATCGATCTCCATCATCTCTACGAGAGGTATGTTGCAGTGTGCTATGAAGACATTAATCATTAACAATTTTATGATAATGAAGATAGGCATTAAAAATGTCTGCATCAACTAAAGTAATTGTAAGAAAATAAGTGGAATTCTGAAGTAAATACTATTATAATTCAATATTCTGCTATCTTGAAGAAAATTACTTTTATAGTAGCTTAATGATATTAAGATATCAGTAGAAAAATCAAAGAATATCATAAGTTTGAATCATTTCTTCTAATTAGAAACTAACGATTAAATTCATTTTTCCAGCTGGACTTTCCTTTCGGAATCAAAAACCGATTTTGATACTTTTTTATTGAAAAAATTAGTTGATTTCACCGAAGATGAAGTTCCTTTTTTCTGTTAACTCTGTTATATTGTACAAAGCACAACTGAATCTTTCCGTAATCTTCAAAAAATTCTTTACATTTAAGACCCATCAAGTAGTCATGATTACCAACCTATCCTTAAAACAATTTCAGTTAGATTTTTTTACAATTTCAGTCATTATCTAAGTAACACAATTTCAAGGTTTCAAATTTTTATTTATAGTTATAAAAATTGTTACAGACATTCTTAATAGATCAAATGAGACAGTAATTTGACAATTTGGATAGAAAGATGAGTGATGATCCGTTACAGATTGGAATAACAGTTAACTTTAAAATATTTTTATAATTTTAAAAAATTTAGACAAAAAGTATTAATTTCTATTACTATGTCAAAATTCAATTGAAGAAACATTTGAATCTACTTATCCAAAAATTTACCACATTGCAAAACGTTCATTTCCGCACAAGTTTTTAGAAAACGGTTTTATGTGGAGTGGAAAGCAAGGGCTCATGAAAGAGATACAGAAAATTAGGGTTCATAAACTTTAACTGGATAATGTCAGATCAGTTGTTTCTTTAACAAGTTACATGAAATATGAAATGGGATGGTTGAAAAACTTTGAATGAAAATATATCTTGGTCAAGAAGCTGAAGGATTTATTATTTTCCAGAATCCTTAAATGAACTAATTTACATGAAGCAGCACATTGATTAGCCATTATCAGCATATCATCGTTTACGTTCTTTTTCTAATTGATGAGGTGTTAATTGCCCTTCAGCTCTAATTTGTTTCACAATATCTTCAAAGATCTGTAGCAATTACCACTTTTATTTAAATTTTGAAATAGAATTGAAAAACAAATTTTTACCGAAAATTGCTATTACTGATAATTTTTGAATATCATGTTCGTAACATTTCAATTTTAAAATATTCATCAATTTTTCTACTTTCAGATTTTTCTGAGAATCAGTTAATTCTGATTCGTTTTTTCAAAACAAACAATGTTGATGCATTTAATTATATGATACACAATTACAGCTTCAACTTCAAACTATAAAGTTATCGCTTCGTAGTCAATCAAATTTGTTTTGGAAATCGGAAAATTTAAAATGCCGGCCACTTTTAAAGTTCGGTTTAAATTAATGCGAGAAATAAGTAGATAAATATGAAAATTATCGAACAAACCTCGATGACATAAATATTATTTTTCGCTGATGCTTCACAAAATATTGAATTGTATTGAGCTGCATATTTTTCACCATCGCCTCTTGACACTTCTCGATTTTTGATATCGTCAATTTATTATCAACGAGAATTAATGGAAACTGCAATTTATATATTACAGAAAATTTGGTTTGGTTTTTCGATCAAAATTTGTTGGAATATTGGAAGATTTAGATCAGAGTTCATGTAGTGTTGAAAAGCTATTATGTACTTAAATCAACGAAACTGACCATCTTCATGGTACTTTTATGAAATTTTAGACTTCATATAGCTGAAATTCCTTTTAAAAATTTGTGCAAACATTTGATGAAGCACTGACATGATATTTTTGCCGAACTCGTAATAAACTTTGAAATATTTCAACCGTATTTATCAGACTCGTTGCATCAGTAATTGAATACACTACGATAAAGCCATCGCCATTTTTCATATATAAATCGCTCATTGCTAATTGTTCCTGCAAAAAATTAACTTATCTTGAATTCTCGTATTTTTGAATTCAAATTATGTAGATGAAATAATTTGAGTTCAAAAATTTTTTCCGTACGCAAAAACGTTAATTCAATAAGAGAAATTAACTTCAAAGATTTGTATAAAATATTCCTTGAATCGTACTTATCTATTTTACATTATTACATCTGCCAAAAATAAAAAATGTTATCATTTAAATGAAAATCATCAATCATTTTCTTTAAATTTCATATTTCGAGTGTTCCTGTCTTTCGAATGAAGAATTAATAATATAAATAAATGAAATCAAAACTTATAGTTCCAGCGATGTCAAGGACTTCCACTATGCAAGTCGTCCCGTCAACAACAATTTCCTTCTTATAACTATCTTCAATTGTTGGAACATATCGTTTTCAAAATATTCCTTTCACCAGTTGTGCTATTTATAATTTGACGAAATTACTAGAAAACTAATAACAAGAAAGAAAAAACTTAATAAATCAAAGAACTTTACAGAGCACTTTTCCCAACACCTCCGCTTCCAAGTAAAACGATTTTATGTTCAAGCATAAATGTAAATTGCATTCTGGTTGACATCTAGAACAGATTTAATTGATAAATTATTCAATAAAATTTATATAAAAGATCAATGTTCACTTTGAATAAACATTGCCAATAAATAGTAGCAGAAAATTGATAAATTATCATTTTACCTTATTAGGTAAATGAAAAGAATAAGATGAAAAATCCCTGCTCAGGCTTCTGTAGACATTTGAAATGCAATTGAAAATACTATATTTTGATGAACACTACCTAGTTTGCTCAATGAATTGATTCAAGTTCTGCACTATATTTGTCAGCAGGTTAGGATTAAGAAATTAACACTAACACTGAATTTGTGACACTAAAACTAAAGTATTCTTCTACCGAAACATTTCGGAAAGGAACTTACATCTTCACTCCGAAACTCATCTCTTCATTTCCTCTTCTTTTCTTGTTTTAGTTTCAGTTGTTCCAGTTAATACGGGGATCAATGAAACTGAAAATCAAAAAAGGAACACATCCTTACACCGACCGAAATCATTATTGTAGAAAACAACGGATTTTTACGGAATACATAATTAATAATATGACATAATCTTTGGTTCAAAATAGTTCGGAATTTTGCATATATCCTCTTTTTACAATTAAATTTTGGACAGCCAAAACATAATGTATTCCGATCAAGAAAATTCGGATCTGATATAAAATACAGAATTAATAAAATTCACATGAGATCGCTAGAAATGTGAAGCGTAGAGAGAGAGAGAAAAAATGACTGAAGTTAGATTTAATGCTGAAGGTATAATGCTGACCTCAATTTTCCTTAATTGAGACGACGTCATTTATAAAAAACCAACTCATACAAATTCTGCGCATTTTATATGATGCATTCTTTAATAATTCTTTATTAAATTAATAATTCATGAACGTTTAATCATTTAATCAGAAATTTCAGAACCAAATCAATTCTTATAAAAAAACTGTCTTCCCAGCCCCAAAATGTGAATACACAACATACCAGAGTTTCATTGTTCATGGAAAAAAGTGTTTAATGCTCATAAAATCAAATTTTTCGAATTCCAAGATCTAAAAAAGATTCAAAATTCATCGAAGAATAAATCAGCTAAAAAGTAATAGAAAAGTTCAAAGACACATTTCAGTCTCTATTTACGAAAGAACTGACGGAGAAATTAAAAAGGAACTCA